CAATGTCTATCACCCAGCCACCATCCCTCCCACCCCCCACGACTCCACCAAGAGACATTTTTAAGAGGATTCAGAACCTTGGAATAGGAACAGGATGCCTCTTTTGCTAAGAAGGGCTCAGTAGTGCCCTGGGCACTTCAGCTACTGCTCTCTGACAAAAGTAAATCTTATTCTTTTAGAATAAAGAAAAAATTTGCATATTCTTGGCTCCATATTTAAATCTGTTTTTTTTTCCTCCATGGAAATAAACCCCTTTCTCTGAACTCAGTTGCTCATAAAGACACACGTAGAATTACCACAAGGTTTAATGAATATGTATAATACACATGAATTGTTTTTTGCTAGGCAAACATGAAAGTATCTATCGTCTATCAAAATCATGAGAGCACAGGAAAAAATAAAAGCACATCTGTCCAGACTTTCAGTTTAAATGGTATTATTACTCTGTTCACTAGATATTTAGCAAGTGTCTCTTAGGTGCCAAGAAGCACTGTCCCAACCAGATGGGGATCCAAAAAAAAAATCATGGTCCCTGCTCTCACCATCTACTACGGGGACAGAGAGAAAATGAATGATGATAATGCTCTGAAAGGGGTATACATGGGTGTCAGGAGAGCTGGAAGGAGGAGCTTCCAAATTACATTGGGAAAGATGATGGGGAAGTTCCTAGAAGGGATGTCATGAGCTAGGTACAGTAGGACAATAGGATTTAACTCCAGTGAGTGGAAGGGGGCTGGGAGGATTGCAGTCAGGAGGGACAGCATGGCAGAGGCACACAACATAGAAGAGTTGGAAGCCCTGAGGATTTGATTTCAGTTTGATTCTCTGTGAGGAGACTGGCAGGTGAAAATGACAGGCAAGGGACATGAGGCTAAGAAGACAGACAAGGGGCTGGATTTTAGGGGGACTTTGAGAATTTAAATTTCTTCTGAAGCACTTATCCACCACTATTCTTATTTTGCAGGAGCATCGCTCACTGATCTGTCTGGCCCAGAAAACACACAAAGGAGAGGCCCCTCACGGGGGAAGGCACCACCTGCCTGACCTGTTTGGATGCTCCTTGTGCTTGACGTCCAGGTATTTCAAGGTGGCAATGAAGGACTGAGCCTGGAAGCCTCTGGCTGTCCCGGCTACCACTGGGGTGTGGCAGATAGCACTGTCTGTTCCAATGGTAACAATGTTGCTCCTTAAGGGAGTCCCCACGTGGCCCACCTTGTCCACGGCCTTTGCCACACAACGCACATGGAACCTCCGGCTGAAGTAAATGCTGTCCAGGACCTACCAGGAAAAATAAAGTACTTCAGACATGTGTATATTCCTTAAACAGCTCCTTACACTGTATCTTCTGGATGATATGACATGACCAGTTTCTGGTACAGGGCTCTCTCTGCAGACCATCCATCATCTGTCTATCCATCCATCTATCCCCTCATCTATCTATTCATTCATTCACCACAAAACTGTTGACTTTCTCCCAGGAGCCAGGCACTAGGGACAGAGCAGTGAGTACGTATAGCCTGAGGCAGCATGTCAGACAAGGAACAAGTAGACAGACTGGAGCAAGAGCCCAGAGATGACCAGTTACCAGTGACAGTATTGTTCTCTTTATAGACTAGGTTCAGCATAAGGACTACTCAGCTGGTTTCCAGCCCTTCCATTGAGACTGGTTGGCCCCCAAGTAATTTTTTCTGAGGGTATATGTCAGGATACAGAAGAGAAATGTTTCCTTCCCAGGAGTTCTTGTTTTTCTTTCTTTCCTACTGCTAGTCCCTCCCCCCAACCCCCACCTAATGACCACACACACAGTGTAAAGGTTATAATAACATGAAGAGATGAAGTTGAGAACTTGGCCTCTGACACCTACTGGCCTTTGAAGGTCTTTCAACAGATTCTTTCATGTTCTCAGACACAGAGAAGCCATAAGAATGCTTAACTCAGTCTATGCAGAGGCAACGTGGGTCACCACAACTCTTTAGATAATGTGTGCATACACATAGGGAAGTACATAAGAAGAAAAATTAATTAGTAGTTCTGTGTGCCACAGACCTCCCACAAAGCAATCATACAAACTTATAAATTTTACCCATGGAAACAATTTTCACTGAAGCCCATTAAAAATTAAAGAGGATTTTTCCATTAAAATTTTTTTAATTAGCTGCCAACACTTTATTTATTTATTTACACATGGACTTAGTTCAGAAGGGATTTGAGGCATCTTACAAAGATGCACACAATACAATGTATTAAGTAAATAATTGAAGAAACAAAGAAAGAGCAAAGGAAACTGGGGTAAAAGTATTAGTCACCAAGTCACTGCAAGAATAAAAACGGAAACATCAACTTGGTACCTGTTAAAAATGTATATTTGGCCCAAATCACACGGAACTGCCTTCATGGTTTTTTGAAAAGAGAATTAGATACTTAGGAAACAATAAGCTGTTAAGTCTTATCATTTCAGTTTTTAAATTTTATCACATAGCTTGAATTTGAACTAGGTTATATTGCAAAAGAATTGATCTTTTGGCCTTTCTGAATAAGCTGTGCAGAAAACAATGGATGTGAGTGACATTGCTTTACCCAGAGCCCCCCGTCCATCTCTGCCTTCCCTCCACCATTATCCTATCTATGGGAAGCACTTATTAAAGTGAGAACAAACTGAGAGCTGAATAGGAAAAAAGCTAGAGAAATTCAGTCTGAAAGAAATCTCTGATGTCCAAAATTAGTAAGTGCACTAATTTTAATCAAAAACTGTCGAGGGCTTACTATGTGCCAGATATTGTGCTGAGGATCTCCACTGCTTTCGGTTCTCTCTCTGAGGAGAATGACGTCACTGGTGTGATGAGCAGTCACCACAGTGCACTGTTCCTTAAGGTTGGGAAAACCCTCACTATTCATTGCTCTGTGATGGCGGCAGAGGTGTGGGTCTGGTGTCTCGACTCTTGGAGGACAGCAACTGCATAGTGCGCTTCTTCTCATGTCTTTCTCCAATCCTGTATAATGCCAATCACTCGAGAACCAGTCTATCCTTTGTTTAATCACTGTGCCATCCCTACTATGTGCCGTCAATGTGCTGAGCACGTTAGGCTATACAAATGTGGTAGAACCCTTGGTCCATGTCCTTAAGGAGTTTATATCCTACTACTTATTGAACGATTGAAGAGATGTGAAAAAAAGTAATCATTAATTGTACCTACGTGGAATCTTTGATTTACTTTACCATTTATAGATCACTTTTATATCTGATTTGTCAATGACTGTCAGTGGCTAAGTGGAAAAGGTATTATTTTGCAGATCAGGAAACAGAGACTCAACTCCCCTAACCTCTTACCATCACATAGTTAAAAGTAGGCAGAATCAAGATTAGTAAACAGGTTGATTACTAGCTTGGATCGCTTTCTACGACACCATATTACCTTATATATAAGAATAAAAATACCTGTGTATATACTGTGTGTACCTGCTTATTTGTTTATTTTATTCCAAATGACACACAAGAGCCTTAAGGAATTTATCTGATAGAGTTGCAGTGACAAAGAGAAGCACCAGTTTTCTCCCCATGCAACCAGGCCCAGATCCCCCTAGACCTACCATGTGGTTGACACTGGTGAATGGTGTGTTGTCAGTGATGGTCTCAAAGGGTGACCGGGCCCCATTGCCATCAGTAGGGGTGGCCACTTCCCAGCTGAACTGCACCGATGTTTGGTTGATACCAGCCTCACTGCAACGCTCCTTCATGATGGTGTACTTGGGGAAATGAGAGTCACAGGGGGTAACACAAACCAGTGGGTAGCCTGGGGATGGGGATTTCTTGACTCCTTCCTTGGTAACTTCTTCTACATGGTCATAGTCAGCAAGTGTGACAACCTGAAAAGGAGCAACAAAGCTTCAGACTGGGCTGGGTGTTGGGAGGCTCAGAGAACTAAGGCTCCCCTCCCTAGAGATCCACAAGATCCCTTAACTGCTAGGGATTCTTTAAAATATAATGAAAAAGAAAATAGAACGGAAGTTTTCATAGTGCTTTGCCAGGCATCCCTAAAAGATACTACAGATCTTTAGTGGTGAAGAAGATCCTCCGTCTGCCTGAGCTAAAAGCTTTAGTATCTTGTTACTCTTATTCCTAAATCAGGGCTCTATCACTCATGTGAGAAATACTTTTATTTTTATGCACACTGTAACCAAAGATATATCATGAATAACAGTTACTAGTTTAGTTGCATTAAGAAAAAAATAAATAAAGTTGCATTAAATTATTAATGGTATGCAGTAGTATATTTGGCAAAACAAAAGTAAATAAAGGTAGCATATTTCTTCCATGGTTGAATAAGAGACACATTTTGGAATGATCCTTCTACTATATGAGACTAGCCGGGGGAGGTTAGAAGACTTATTCTGACTGCTTCATTATTATGGGTTAAATTACCCTTGGCAACCTCCAGGCATTCTCCTCCTAATTGTAAAGTCAGGGCATTCATTCTATACATGCCCAAATTGGGAGACTGGGTACTACACTTCTGCAAATACTTAACTCTATGCATATGGCAAGTTATGGAGGGTAATAGATATGGGGTCGCATTACTTTTTTTTTCCCCCTTCTAGGTCCCACCAAAGAAATGAGAAGATCAGTTGTATTATACTTCCCATGTTTATTAGACTAAGGTATCAATATGGCTTGGTCTTACTCTTATGTTCGAACAGGGTTTCTCATCCTCAGTGCTATTAACGTTTGTGCCAAATAATTCTTTGTTGTTGGGGCTGTCCTGTGTATTGTAGGATGTTTAGCAGCATCCCTGCCTTCTACCCACTAGATGCTAATAGCACCTAGTGTGACAGTTGTGACAACCAAAAATGTCACTAGACATTGCCAGATGTCCCCTGGAGGTGGTGGCACACAGGGAGGGGATTTGCAAAGGAAAGGACAAGATGGTTCCTGGTTGAGAACCACCATGTTAGAAGAATGAAGAAGTACAGCACCAAAGGCCTACTTCTCTCAAGTTATCATCTCCTAGTCACTAGGACATAAAAGCAGCAATCCTTTTGGGTCAAGCAACTCACGATGGGTGGTGCTGGCAATATGAGACTCCCTGCTGCCTCCTGGTCTAGAATCGTCACTGTGGCAGTGGTCACATCACCAAGAACTGCTTCCATTGGGTCATCTGGGCCAAGGACTAGGGAGAACGATTCATGCCATTCCCGGTCTTCATTGGATAGGATCTCGACTTTAAAAAAGATATGATCCACACCTTCACCAAGGACAGAACACAAAGAGAGCAAAGGTTCTCATTAGGTGATCTACCTCAGACACCGCAGGTTGGCACTGCTGAGATTTCATGTTAAAATATGCCCTTTCCTTTTAGAGGTTTTTCTATAAATACAGGGGCTGCTAATCACTTTAGTCCTATCTCCAGTGAGAAAGCTATTTTATAGACCAAATTCCACCTGTGGTAGAGGCTCAGTTTTGTAGATTTACTATTCAACACCATATGAGGATTAATGGCCCCTGCCTGACACGAGCTGGTAGTAATAAAAATCTATGATCCAAAATACACTTCACCCTGGTTATGAGTTTTTTTGCTTAATTTTTCTTCCCCTTTACACTCAGGCATGAGCTCCTGCATGGCTGTGAGTGGTTGCACCCATGGACACCCCTCAGAACTGTCCTGAGAACCAGGATCTCGAAGGCTTCCTACCAGGCCATCCCCACAAAGACAGTAGCATAAGGGTTTGGCAGCTTGGAAGGAGAAGGGTTAGAGCCTTAGAAACTGCCTTCCTTCTTTGTAAAATGATTCTCTGGGGGTGCAAGCATCTCGGTGGTAGTTAAGTTTCCCTTCTTCCTCTCCTACAAACACCTACTTCTAAGACCTATCTTTTCTCCAGATCCTTAGCAGAAAAGGAAAAAGTAGACACATGGAAGAACAGTTCTTGTGTGGAGGCGGAGGAAGGGCATCTACCCTTCTGGCAAACACTAACCAGAGGCACAAGGGATGGAGCCAAAAGCCCTTTAAAACTCCAGTGGAGGGGCGCCTGGGTGGCTCAGTCGTTAAGCATCTGCCTTCGGCTCAGGTCATGGTCCCAGGGTCCTGGGATCGAGCCCTGCATCGGGCTCCCTGCTCCGCGGGGAGCCTGCTTCTCCCTCTCCCTCTGCCTGCTTCTCTGCCTACTTGTTCTCTCTCTCTCTATCTCTCTGTCAAATAAATAAATAAAATCTTTAAAAAAATAAATAAATAAAAAATAAAATAAAACTCCAGTGGAATGAGAGACATCAGAGATCCCTCCCCCCTCATTTCTGAGGAAGTCACTTCCTCCCCCCACTTGCCAAGACGTCTCTGGAAAGGCCTTCTACCACTGTTGCCCATTTCTGGCTAACTCACAAATGGTGCCAGGATCTACACCAGTCTTTTTGCCTTATATTGCTCCAGAAAGTTCTGTGAAAAAATCTAGCATATAATTCAAGTCCTTCTCTGTCTAATTTCTCCCATCAAATTACTATATAAGACAGTTAAACAGATAGCTGTGACCTGAATCCCATCTTTCTCTCTTCTCTGACTCATCTCCACAGTTTCCTCTAGAATAAACCTTTTTTTGGAAATATCATAACAGGGTATCCTGTCTCCTAGCAGATGTTAAATCACTGGAGCACAGAGATTGTGCCTTCTGGATTTGAGTAATCCCTGAAGGGCCCAGCACAGTGGTTTGTACCCATGTTTTACTAAACGATGGTAGTCATGTTTATTCTTTTAAAATCAAATGCATCTGACTCAACCAAATCATAGGCTAACAACAACCAAAAAATCCTTTTAAATGAGCCCAAATGCCAAGGATGTTCTGAAGTAAGGGACCTACTTTTGTTCTTTCTCAATGCCATTTTTACCAACTAAAAATTTTAAAGATTCCTGTAGTATCAAATGTGTGCTTAATAAGTACTTCATGCTTAATAAGTACTACTGTTTTCCTCTTTTATTTTTCTGCTCATTCCTTTCTTCAAATACAAGATATTTGCCTCTCTATTAAGTAAAACCCACAGATTAGGATTGGCATTCAATTACCGGGACTAAACTTCAAGACTCTGCTCATTGGGTAATAATCCACCCCGGACTGGGCAGACCCATCCCGTGTGCTGCAGCGAATCTTGGACGTCCTGTTCTGATCCCCTCGGCGGATCACCTTGATGTTCAGGAGGGCTATAGCATCTGGCCCCGAGGGTTCCCGGACTTGGTATGCAGCTTCTTCAAACTCAATGGTAGGGGCTAAGGAAACAGGATTAGAAAAACAAGAGCAGGTTAGAAAAGCACAAAGGATTCCATTCCCCTGAAAACACCTTATAAAGACAAGAGGGAGTTTTCCACATTAGTAAGCAATACAAAGGTAAAATGGCTTGCAGTCATAAAAATCAATCAGTTTTTAACCCCTCAGCAAAGCTTTGGAAAAGGAACTTATTTATGATTCTGCAGGAGTTGTTTCTCACAGATTTCTTATTAAAAACAATAGTGGGGGAAATATTTTTAAGGACTTTGAAATGCATGATGTACACATTTCCATCTGGGCATTACAGCTCACAAAATGTTTTTAAATTCACATACTTTATCAAGGGACTGAGACAGAGTAAGCCCTTGATAAATACTTATCGACCAATTGCATGAATCAACTTTTTCATTTATGAGATATGAATTTCTAAGCTTTATAATTTATCTCATTTATACACTACCTAAACTTTCCAAGTCCATCTCCCATCTCTGATCTTGGGGGTCCTTCTTCCCAGAGCCCTCACATCTCCCATTCTTAAATTTTCCTAACTTCTCACAGGTTATTTAGTTAAAAATGAGTATTTTTAATGAAGAACACAAGACTTCCTAACACAATCTGGTTTGAGGTACTATTCTCATTGCTATGAAGTGATTAATATGTTGGTTTTTACAAAAATTTCAAATTGTGCCTTCTTTTCCATTATATTCTCACGGGGAAGGGTGAGGTGGTAGTGGTGGGTAGAGATAAAAAATCGGATAATTGAGAGCAATTACAAATTATATACCATTTCTAATATACTATAATATTTTGCAGAAATTTCTGGAGTCTCTGTTCATTTCCCTCTTTCCCTCTCAGAAAATCAACTCTTCCTAATTGTAGAAGATAAGCTTCCTTGGAGACTTCATAGTTTTTAATGAATGCTCTTTGGAAGTTAGGAGAGTCACTTATTACCTTTCTGAGCTTCAGTCATAGGGTTTCTGTGTGACCAGGAAAGGTTCACTTCAGGATCTGAACCCAAGTCCTTGGGTAAAGGACTAATTCAGCTTCAGGGCTAGCTTTTCTTATTTTACCCAATGTCCAAGTTAGTCCCCAATTTTATATCAGAAACTCTGAGAGTCTCACTAACTCTCATGTAGATTCTAGAATCTGATAAAATAAGGGTTACAACTAGTTTTGCTGCTTACAGCTGTGTAACTAAGAGCATAAATTATATAAATTTGCTGAAGCTCAATTTCTTCACCTATAATATAGGGATTATAACACCTACCTCAAGGGGTTACCATCAGGATTAAATGAAATAAGATAATATAATATGCTTAGTATAGTTCTTGGTCTACAGTAACATAAAAACAGCTATTACTATTTGTAGTATTATCCGTTCACTCATTAAAATATCTATTTGAATAAAACAATTATGTCCCAATTTGAAACAGATTTGGTTTTGTTTTCCATAGTGCCTGGGTCATTCTTTGCTGACACCTGACTAAAGAATTTAAGATTTTGGGGGTTAATAGGCCAAATCAATTAGAAGGAAACTGAGAAATTAGACTCTTCCGGGAAGGTGGCAGTGTTTAAATTAGTTCATTGGATTCAACTGATTCTGATTGTATTTCCAATCTGGCTCCTGAACTGCAGAGACTTATATAGGTTTCATTCTCTGTCCGCCTTAGCATCTCTGTCCTAGCTTGTAACCATACTCATTCCTTATCTCTTGGCAATGTGGTAGGGAATAATGAGATTAAGCACACCTATAAACTTATTGGAACTCTGTAGAGGATGATCACTTGCTGCCAATAGTTTATATAAATACTCTGAGATTGTTATCAGTAGGCACTTTTATAGCACTTTCATTTTAAAAAACACCTATAATTACATTGTTAGTAAAACATCAGTTCATGTTCTATCAACCAAAGAATAACTAAAGACAATATCTTCTGTTACCATCTTCATCATTGGATATGGTGATGGTGGCCATGTTATTCTTTCCAATTCTGGCTCCACTCCAGTGGTTTCCAAGAGGATGGCCGAGGTAGACCCTGAATTGTTCCTCAGGCTCAAACATGGAGTCATCATGGATAGAGACAGTACAGTTCTTCATCTAGAGCCAATGTCATAAGATAGATTAAAATTTGCACTGAAAAATCAGTAATTTTCTTGCTTTTCCTAGAAAATGATTTTTCTTCTTTGCAGCATCAAAGAGTCAACATAAATTCAAAAGGATCCAAACCATTTCATTTGTAAAATAGAATGTTTAAATCTAACAGTTCATGCCTGACAGGGACATAGCTATCTGTGGAGCCTTGTATTAGAACATTCCAAACCACTCTGAATGATTGGTCATGGATTATGAAAAACAAGATCAATAAAACAACCCACTCCAACGCACCTGTAGGAAGTTTGTGCACTTTCCCTGAGCAGACCAATGCATAGGTACACATTATGAAAGATAAATTTCTGATGATGGGGGTTAACATATGGATTAGGCTTCCTGGAGAGAGCTAAACAATGGTCCATTCCCTCGGTAAAAACTGAAGAGTTTTAGAAGGAACTCAGAAAGGCTTCTTGTTAGGCTGAAGATACCTTTCAACGCTGCAGAACTCTCAAATATGCTGCCAAATGGTGTCTTATCTGAACACTGCTGAGTTCTGAAAGTCTGAGAACGCAATCTAAATCCCTGTTTGACAGAAAGAAATCAAGTGCTTCCCACACTGATTATTCTCTACTGAGGACTGTATTCTTAAGAAAACATAAAATAAGGCCAAAACATTTTAGATGACACAGTAACCTCAACAGTAGAGTCATGTGATGTGAAGTGGGATGATCTTTAGCTGAACCATTTTAAATCCACTCTACTACTGTATTGCAAAGTATCTGTGGGTATAGAGAAGTTCCACTCTCATACTTCTGAAGTCATACTAAATGGAAGGAGAATATCCTGTGAAAGTTTATAGGTAGCTTGCTAACCAGGTTTTAAGACCCTGAGAATGTCCTTTTTTTTTCTTGATAGAAAACATGAATTTAGTAGTGACTCTTCAGGATATCTTTTTAAAAAGGATATTCTAGTGAATCACAAGTTTCAAAGACAAACTGCTTAGCAAGCCAGAGAAAATGGAGATTCCAAAGTGTGCTTATGAAGAATGATAGGTTGTCATGTGGATAACATATAGATGATTAGACTGTATTTTCTTTGCAATTTTATTAAATTATGAACCATCTCTTGGATAAGCAGAGAATCCTCTTTTGAACTTAAAACAAATACAGACATGTAGACTCAAAGCTGAAGATTGTATCTGTAGTATTTGTGTATGTTTTTAAACACATGTTTCAACCTGCCACCAGTAAAATTCCCATAAAATATATAACCAAGACAGGGCTTCTATGAGTCATGAATGTATAAAAGACCAAGAGTCTCAAAGAAGGAAGCTATCACTTTTTTTTTTGGTAGTAATGACGAACAGAGGAAGAATCTGCTGTGACTTACCCATTAGAAGATGGGTAAGATCTTCTAATGCTAAACTTCAAAAGGACTAATCATAGGGCGAACACCTGATATGTTGACTATACCAGAACTGAAAACTCTGTTCAACTAAGAACACTATGATCAAAGGTAATAGATAAGTGACAGAAGGCAAAAATACATTTACAATATCTAAAATGTCTACAACTGGCAAGGAATTAATATTCAGAATATACAAGACTGCAAATCTGTAAGAAAAAGGCAGCAATACAATAATAAGGAATAAAGGATAAAAATAATTTACATAAGAGGAAACCCAATAAACTAACAAGCATATATACTGGTAGTAAGTGGGAAAATGCACATTAAAACGAGATATAACTTTATACAAAGATTAGCAAAAATCCAAAAGATGAGTAATGCTAAGTGTTGAAGGGGATATAGGATTATAACCTTCATGGCACTGCCAGTGACTTTCTGGAAAGTGTTCTGACACTATTTTTTCAAATTAAGCACATATGTGGCCTTTGGTCCAGCAGTTTTGCTGCCAAGTGTATATCCAAAGAAATTCCCACTCAGGTCTGTAAGTGGACATGTACGAGGATGTGCACTGCAGCATTATTTGTGGGGGCAGAGTGTTAGGAGGTGACTGGGCACTAATCTCTGAGGTTCCTCATTGTCTACTGCTAAGAATGGATGGTTCTAATGTACTAACTACCCATCATGAAATATTATGCACTATCTCAGCAACAGATTAGATGTACACATAAATGATGTTTACTGAGTAAACAGAGTAAAAGTTTGAAAAAGATGTAACACAGTAGTTTTACAAATTAAAATTTGCATACAAAACAACCAGCATTTTAAAAGAAGAAATACAAATTAAGACATATTCATTAAATACAACAGATTGATGAGTTCTGAGATGGGGAATGAAATGTGGCTGGGGAATAGGCATAAAATAAAACAAATAAACAAAGTAAGAGAAGGGACTTGAAAGGACTAAGGGGACTGTGTGTTTTGACTCAAGAGGGTACAAGCGACTCAGTTATCTGATACTGAAATCCAAAAATGGGGAAATGTGATTCTCATTCAGTATACATATACTTTTGACATACACTGAGGTTGCAGGCTTTGATTCCAATGTAGCCATACTTACTGACTGGAGTTTCTCAGGAGTTCCTGTGCCCATACGCATCACTTTTCATGTAATTGCTAAGCAGAGAACACTCTCCTGGCTTGAATTTGCTCAACGTCTGCCTATTTGGTCCTATCCTATTGGTTCTATACTAGAATCTATGCTGCCCCGAGACGGGGGCCCAGGTGTTAGAGAATTGTCTCGTCCTCCTCTAGGTAACAGTGGTGGAGTGTGTTCATCTCTAATGTAGTTGCGAATTAAGAGGAGCCTCATTCATTGATTCTGCTAAATTCCAGAAATGTTACATGTCATCTAAATTCCCAGCTCAACCAATGATATATGTATTTAGTTTTACGTAGGAGACCAAGAAGACAGCCACAGGGGACAGATGATAGTATTATAAATAGTATCAATCAGTGGAAGAAGTCCTAGGATGTTCGGAATTTGTCTAAATGACTTCATTATAGACAGTAAAGGCATCAAGGAAAAAGAGAAACTGATCTTTCAGTCATCATGAATCCACTTACTTTCTCCCCTTTCAGAAACGTAATCCGTGAGGAGTCCGCATTTCTTCTCTCCTCAAAGTCCTCCATGACCTGAGCTGAATGGCCCTGGGTATAGCACCTCACTGATGACTCATAGCTCAGGTCTCCACTCCGAATGATGGGCACCTGCAGGACACCCTCTTTCTCCTTCACTAGGAGCAAATCCTTGGCAAACTGCATGCTGGGCACTGGGGGAGCAGAAGGAAAGATGGAGGCATTGTTAGTGGGAGGCAGAGGGGAGATGGCCGCAGCCCTCAATAGCCACTTGGCAGGACAGGTCTACTAAGGGCCATCATCACAGGCTGGCAAGTCAGAGATGGTAAGCAGATTTTAAGGCATGGTTGCTCTCAAGACAAGGGAACTGCTTCCATTGTTGAGCGTGCTTCTAATGAAACAGAATAAATCAATTTTGCACCTGTGTCTCCCAGCTTCAGGGTGTGGTCCCCATCTCAAATGCAGATAAGTAATGCAAGCAAAGAAATGGGCCAGGTATAAGGAAAATTTTGATTGAGACTTTAATACGCAAAAAAATTCACTTTCCTTCTAAGGCTACAAAAAGGAAAAGAGCAGTGTAAGCCTGACAATAAATGGCTACTCACATTGGTCCTGGGGCCAGGGAGACAGTAAGGAAAAGTGGGGATACCGGTAAAGAAAAAAGCTCAGGCCTTTTTAAAGAGGGTCACCCCTCAGCTCCAGGCTTTTGTTGGCAGGTCATCCTATTTTCAGATGAAGCCAGAAATCTGGATTTTTATGTCATATCTGCTAAATTTTTAAAAAGCAACCAGTTAAAACAGGAAAAAGAAGTTCCATAGAGGCCAAACTATTTGGGCCAAACAAAAGACATCCGCATGCTGAATTTGGCCAGTGGGCACCCAGTCTGTGACTACTGCTATAAAATCACTTTTTCTTTTACAGCTCACATGGTTTCATTTGACTTTAGGAAGGGACCACAGCCAAGGTGTGGTTAAAAACATGGACTTTGCAGTCGGTAGGCCTAAATTTCCATCCTAGCCCTGCTACTTATTAGCTGTATGATATAGGGTAAGTTGCTTAGATTTTCTGAGGCTTGGGGTTTTTTTATTTATAAATTGGAAATATTACTATCCAACTTCTAGAGTTGTTGGAAGGAGTGAACTTCATGAAATAATGTAGGCACGGTGCTCAATACAGTATCTGGCACATCACAGGCACTCCTATTTTGGTAGGAATTATTATATTATGGTTTGTATTGCCCCCAGGTCCAGGGTTCTCAAGATGAAGAATCACTTTTTTCTCCTTACTTCCTACAGTGCCTATAATAATGCTCTGCATTAAGACATGTCCTTTCTGAGACCAACATCTTGCTGGTGATTGCTGTTTTTTTTTTTTTTTTTAAGATTTTATTTATTTGACATAGAGAGAGACAGTGAGAGAGAGCACAAGCAGGGGGAGTGGGAGAGAGAGAAGCAGGCTTCCTGCTGAGCAGGGAGCATGATGCGGGGCTGGATCCCAGGACTCTGAGATCATGACCTGAGCCGAAGGCAGACGCCTAACAACTGAGCCACCCAGGTGCCCCCTCTTTTTTTTAAATATTTATTTATTGGAGAAAGAGAGAGAGAGAGAGAGCAGGCAGTGGGGAGGGAGAGAGGGAGAGAGAGACTAACGCAGACACCCCGCTGAGCGCAGAGCCTGACGTGGGGCTCGATCCCATGACCCCGAGATCAGGACCCAAGCCAAAACCAAGAGGCGGACACTCAACTGACTGTGCCACCCAAGCACCCCGCTGGTTATTTATTTCTTAATGAGCAATACAAAGAGGTAGGCCCTCCAGTCACATGTCAAAGTCTCCTGTGGCAGAAACTGACTCTAAAGCTGTCGTCCCCGTTTCCTTGCCATGTCTCATGTATGCCCTGCCAAACCTGAAAGGAAGGAACCAAAAGGCAAGGACCCACGCACTCTGCAAGTCAACATACAAGAAGCTCTGTTTGCCTCCAACCTGCCCACTGCTCAGAACCGTGGGTATTAGCAAAAACAGAGCAAACTCATTATCTAAGCTAAACCTAACAGTTACCACTTACTACCAAAGAAAAACCCAGCAGATACTTCTTAAAAGAACACCACACCTAGAGGATAATGAACAACTTTGGCATCAGGTCCCGAGCATTTATCCTTTAGGGTTCTGTCATCCAGTAAAACGGTCTGTACTGTTAAAAGGTGGGTGGCAATGACATGACCTAGCATAGAAGGACAGAAGGAAACTTGTTGGCAGGTAAAAACAACAAGCAAGGAAGCTTTTCTGCTCATGAAAAGATTATCTAAAGCTTTGGATTGATTTCTCTTGTTGGCCCAACAGGCATCAAGTCAGATGAGAGTTAAAAGTGAAAGTGGTAATGTTTGGGTTTTGTCATGTATTAATCAACCCCCAATTCTTCTTGAGCTGTAAAAGACTCCTTTTTTTTCTCTTTAACAAGAGGGTAAACCTCACTCCTTTCCCTATCTGGAAAAAGAGGGAGAGAGAAAGAGAAGTAAGGGAAGTGGGTGAACATGTCTCACGATTGCCTGCCGTGCTGGGAATGGTTCCTGCCTCATGGGGCCCCTTGTCTGGTGGGAGAATGAGGCAAGAGACAATGGAAAGACAATATTCAGTAACAGATCTGTGCATGGGGGTTTATGGCATACAAAGGAAAGGCCCAGCCCAAGTCAGGCAGGGTGTGAAGGGCTCCACACATGTCATTTCATGTCCTCCTCTCAATACCCCGACTACAATCCCCTCAGGAAGTAGGAGCACTGTTCTCAGTTCTGCCTGACTGTAGAGCTCCTCTCCTTCCACACCGATGCGGTGCGTGCCAGGAAATGGGGATCACTCGTGGGGGTGCACAAGCTTACACTATCGCACACTCACTATCAGCACTCTCAGCGCCTTCATCACACACAGCCCAGTTTGTAGTTATCTCCTTACTTGTGTTAGTCCTGTGTCCTGAAACAGACGGTGGGACTCTGCTCTCCATTACACTGTAACCCGCACAGTGCTGGGCGCCAGACTTAGGCATGGAAAATGCTCATGGAATGCTGTTAGCCACTAACCTTCTCAGTAACTGACAAAGTAAGTGCAAATGCCACCCCCTGAAATTCGAGTGCCTCTTTATGGGCAATGGTTGGGTTGGAGATTTAGGAGAAATCCTGCCTCCGGTTCTCTCGAGTTAGAGCAGGCAGGATGCAGTGAACACCCAGGGGTGTGATGAGATCATGGCTACAAGGCCTTTCCTGTCTTGCTCAGCATTCCTCAGGTCCATACCAAAGTCTAACTCCAGGTACCAGAGCAGAAGAGGAATATGCAAATAGGAAAATGTTCTGAGATGAGTTACTTAGGTGATTTAAGGGCCCGCGATCACCCTGTGGAAAAAGATGAAAGACCTTAGGTCACTTTGGAAGGCTGAAGGTTGACTTTACAAGGACACTGAGTGACATTAAGCATCTAAAACTGCAAGGGGAAGAGTCAGCACGGTAGAGTATAAAACCAGAAGACTGGACGTGGATAGAACAGACCTAGGTTTTAAGTCTGGTCCCACCGCCTCCTCTCCAGGTGATCTTGGACAAATTATCCAATTTGTTTCACTAGTTGAAGAGCTTGTAAAGATTAGAGAGAAGGTAAGATCTTTCCACCTTACAGTGTGCACATGGAAGAAGCTCAACAAGAGTTAGCGATTACTAAGAAGAAGGCTAACCAATAGACACAAGTGTCGAATACTACAACGGGTTACTGAAATAGGTTTGGGGATTTCTTTCTCTGGGATAAATTCTTGACTGAATATGGTTTGTTGTAGACTTCCTGAAAGATGAGAAATATTTTAATGTGCTCATGTTCTAAGTTTGCAACCTAATGTTCATCAATAAAATATGGAGAAAAATCCAAGTGGAATCTTTTCTGTTGATCTGGGGCAATGAGTTTTGTGTACATGACTGGAGTCCCACTGGCAAGTGTGATAAATTACTGATGTGTCAGGAAGAAAAGAAATTAACATGTATTAAAATCTACTATGTGCCAGGAACCACGGTAGCTATTTTTACATACTTTATCTAATTTAATCCTTACAATAACCTTGTAAGGTAGGTATTTTCATTATCTGTAGATTAACAAAATGAGGCTCAGTAACCTTATGTTGCTAGTCTAAGGCCAGAAAGTAAGGAAATGGTGGGGCTGGGATTTTATTTTAGGACTTCTGATTTTGCATTCCCTTTCCACTCCATCAGAAGGATGCTTTCATGCAAAAGAATTAGAAATCTTTTTAAAAATGAGGAGAATAACTGAATTTTTTTCCTTCTTCTTTTCAGTGAATAAGAGAAAAAAAAAAAAACACATCCCACAGATTCTACTGCTGCACCAAATAGGACTATTTAGTGTAGTGCAAAGGGTATGGACAAGCCAAAGTCTTAGAATGCATGCTAGTCCCTCTCTGTATGAGTCTTGGGGTGTTTACTTCTCTGATTCTAGTCTCCTTATCTACAGAATAGAAACAAGTATAAAACCATGAAATTATGAGATAATATCTAGTACATCACTCTGTAAACTCTGACAACACCAAATGTTGGTGAGGATGAGGAGCAGCCAGAATTCTCGTACACCGTTGGCAGTAACACAAAATAGCTACAACCACTTTGGAAAACAGGCTGGCAGTTTCTTGTCACGTTAAACAAACACCATAAAATCCAGCCACCCCACTCCAAAGTATTTACCCCAGAGAAATAAAAACCTATATTCACACAAAAAGCTATATATGCTAATATTTATAGTCACTCAGGTCATAACTGCCAACTCCTGAAAAGAACTGAAATGTCATTCGACAGGTGAATGGATGAACAAACTGTAGCTCATCTATATAATGGGAAACCACTCTGCAGTGAAGGAAATGAACTACTCGTATATGTAACAACACAGATGGTTCTCAAGTGCAATCTTCTAATGAAAGAAGCTGGACACAAGTTGCTATATTACATGATGCCAATTATATGAGATTCTGGAAAAGGCAAAACTGTTTGGGCAAAAAACCAGCAGTGCTTGCCGGGGCTGGCGATGGAGAAGAGGCTGACTACAAAGGGGCACAAGAGCATTCTGTAGGGTATTGAAACTGTTCCACACTTAGATTGCTGGGGTGGGTACACCACTGCATGCATCCATCAAAACTCACAGAATTGTCCACTAAAGAGGGTGAATTTTAATTTATGTAAGTTAGATCTGAATAAACCTGGGTCTAAAATAAGATATCATTTTGGACATTTGCATTATATATGTATTATGTAATCACATGCACATATGTGCATTATATATATATATATGCATATATATGCATATGCATTATATATATTTCCCTTGAAGGATACACACAACAACAACAACAAACTGGTTAAAATGGTTGGTCTCTAGGAGAACAACAGGAGGGTTGGGAGACAGGGGTAGGAGGTTAGACTTAATTTTCATAGTATACCTTTTTTTGGGTCATTTTTTAAAACTACATAAATAAATAAATAATTTAAAAATAAATGAAAGCGTTAAGGATCACCCTGCTGGGATGCCTGTTCCTTTTCTGGGTGACTTTTCAGTCACTGAAAGAATTTAATTATGGGCGCTACTGTCAACCACTGGGGATGTTAATGAGGGTCCTTTTGCTTTAGGTAAAAGGTTTGACCTGATCTTCTTACCCAAATCTACAATCTGACAATTCTAAATTTCGTCAACTCTTCCCAAGAAGCAATCATCCTTTTCTGGCCATCTTCCTGTTAGATTTCAGTGGCGACTGATATTTTGTTCATATACTTGTTGTCTCTTCTTTCCTGTACACCATCTACCGGACTGCTAGTGTCAATTTCCTCAAACAAAGATCACACCACCCCTCTGCTTAGAAGCATCTGCTGCTCCTCTCTGCTTATAAGTCCCTTAGGTTGCAATGTAAGACCTTTTAGAACTGGAAATGAAATGGAGTCCCAACCTGTCTTTCCATTTCCTTCTATTCCCCTCCTGCCAGGCTTAGAGCAAAGTAAGCATCTCACTATTTTCCAAATATGTGTCTTTCAAAATTATATATATACTATATCTCTCCATTTGACAAAACTATATTTTACCATCCATTAGATGAACTCATATCACACCCTAAAGCCCTGTTTAAATATCACATCCTTTGTGAAATCTATGATTCTTCCCCATATAGCTGCTCTTCAGCCCCCTCTGCTCCCCTAGCACTGGATTTATAGCACTATTAGGTCATTTATCATAATATATTCTAATTTTTCTGTTTAAGGGTCTGATCCCCTCAACTAGACAGTGAGCTTCTTGAGGACAGGGCCCTAGGCTTATATATCTTTTTGTGTCTAACATAGTACCAGAAACATGAATGCTTATTTCTCCCCCATATTTCTATGTGAAAGTAGGTACATAACATGTGCACGCACACATGTGCACGTGCACACACACATACACACGCATATTTCTTGAATGAAAATGTGAATGAGTTCCAATGTCATATACTTGGAAGGCAAGGCAGAAATAGAAATATAGTCTGAGCCACGAGCTGGCAGTTCCAATATCTTACCATCCTGGAAGGTGTCATTAATTGCAATGACAGCCTGGAAGGGTTTGGTCAGTTCGGCCCCTTGTGCTGAGCTGAGAAAAACCACAAATGTCTCCAGCCCTTCAATTACTGGATACTGAGTGTCATCTAAGATAGTCAAGGTGCAATACTAGAAGAAAAATCAAGATGTTAATCAGACTTCTTGCGGTGATCATTTTGCAATATATACACAAACACTGAATCATTATGTTGTACACCTGAAACTAGTATGTTGTATGTCAATTATGTCTCGATTTAAAAAAACAATATAAGAAGAAGAAAAATCAAAGTAAACCTATGGAATGTCCAACACACAACACCCATCTGCCTTCAGGAGAGTAGGACAGAGGTGATAACTTGCTTTTTCTGGTGGTCATAGAGTTAAGTTTTTCTATCCATAAAATGACAATCTCTTTATTACAAACCCTTAGGTGTTTTGTCTCTAGATATTTACATCAGCAGGCTGTAGCTCCTATCCTAAATCTGTGGTGATGGATATTAGATGCTGACAATATCATTTGGAGAGTCTGTAGAAGATCTCTCTGGGTTTATTCTCTTGTTCGCATGTTTGTGTTTGTGAAGAAAGGGAAGACAATAATAAGGCAAGGGTGGTTTAGAGTCCTCCACAGAGTTTGGAGAGTGGAACAGAGACAACATTAACAGGCCCATCTGGCCTTTGGCTGCTCTGTGCTCACCTGCTCAGTGACACCTGGCCCAAACTCCACCTTCCTAGAGCTGGGGACATAGTCAACTCCTGGAGTGGCGGAAGCTGGGTCTGAGGGCCGCGTTGCACACCAGACAGATGTGAAGGTAGAAAGGTCAGTCCCATGACGGATAACCGGAATCTTCACTGTACCTAAATGGAGATCCACAGAGATGTCAATGGTCAGTTTTGGGCCAGAAGTCAGTGGGTTTTCAGAACAATGTTCTCCCTCATAGCAATAGCAGCTTTATCCTGTGAACTTGTCTAATCCAACTTCAGTCATGCTCCTGTGTTCCCTCTGAGGAAGGCTGTGAGGTGTCACCACCCCTGTTTTTACTGACACTAAGATCAAGAGCAGACCTGGAGGAGGGTTTCATGGAGGTAGTACTGGAGAGACAGCCCTTAGGGGAAAGTGGTTTTGTGGTTTCATGAAAGACACCGTTCACAGGAGAAAAACAAAGTGGAGAGGGCCCATCGAAAAACATCTCAAGCCTATTTTGAGAGAAGAAACTCAGAGACTAGGGCCTCAGGGATGAGCTAGAAAATAGTCAATTAAGAAAGAACCAGCTAGGGGACTCTATGGGGCCTGAAGCTGAATGTTTCTAATTAAATGTTCCTAACTGGGTTGATTTCCCTATTTTATCTGAGTGGTGCACACATCATTACTTAAACCATAGGTGCTATTGCTTATCTTAGGAACGAAGCTCATCTTCTGGTCCACTGTAACATTACACTTTGTAGTGTCCTAATGATACATATGTAGATTTTTAGCGGTTTTCACGACCAAGGTCAGAGAAAAGCTACATGAAAATCCCATTGCTCATATTTTTTTAGTCAATAAGCTGCGAGCTGACAAGTAGTCACGGCTGCGCATTTGGTATGGAGGAGAGGAAACATGGTATAGGAAAGGTCTAGGTTCTAATCCCAGCTCTGCCATATTAGCTACTGATCTTTGATGCTTTATTTCACCTTTCTGAGCCTCCATTTGCTCTTCTATCTAATGTTATCTTTTCTACAGAAGACTAAATGAGAATGCATGGAATGCAGATGGCATGGTGCCTGGCATTCAGTAAGTGCTCAAAAATATGAGTTCCCATGATCCCTCAGAGTATCACCTTCAAAGAGGTGAATGGCCTTGACCAGGTGGCTCCAATCAGTGGGTGCTCAACACAGCTGCTGCTCCTTCTGGCAGTATGTCTGCTAGCAGCATGCAGAAGACTTTGAGAACTTTGTAGAGCCGAAAGAGGGAAGGAGCCCGGGTGGAAGAAATCTGCCCACTGACTGCTTTGGGGCGTTATATGAATGAGAAAGTTTCATTGGTTAGGACACTGAAACTTTGGAATTTATTTGTTCTGGCAGCTAGCAGTATGCTAAATAACTTACCTCCATCCTCAACAGATCGAATTTCTTGCCTTCAGGGGCCAAAATGCTTAGCACCATGCCCTTCCTCCGGACCACAAAGATCAACCAATGAAGCTCTAAGCCAGATCCCTCCCTGCCATCAGTAACCAGGGCAAGAAAAGTGGATGGAATTCCCTATTCTTCACTACCTTCCATTCTTGGTCTTAATGCCTATTATTATGTCTCCAACTGACAATGAATGGTGTCACTGAGGAATGGCATTCTCAAATGTCTTAAGGACATTCTGAAAACTAAGAGGAAATTGTTTAAGAAAGGGATCAGGATATGGGTGACGGAATCCCAGAGATGCTCTCTATTACCTGCATCCTCGCTGACAGTGAAAGCCGTGTTGCCCAGGGACACAGTGGAAGCATCATTGGGACCACTAATGAGCACCTTGGCCGATGCCACCCTTCCGATGCGGGCATTGTCTGAAGCATCTGCCAGGACAATCTCAAACTCTTCTTCTTCTTCATATTCACTGTCATCAATGAGCATGACATCACAGGTGGACATGGTGACACCAGGCCCGAATATCACACGACTGTCAGGAGACATCCCTCTAGATTTAAAATCAGAGCCCGATTCTAGAGCATAGAGGCTACTTCCCATAGCTGACTTAGGGACTGTGTAGCAAATTGCAGATACAATGCTGCTTGAATCCCCTGAAATACAAATGGTAAGAAAACAAAAGCATTTGAGTGAGCACTTCTCAAATTTTAAAATCTCTGATAATTTGGTAAGCTTGGTTCCCTCTGACACATTCCATCACTACTTCTGTTCAAACTCTGACAGGAAACCTTCCCGCATTGCAGCTTCTTAAGCCTGTGGTATAAACCACCTGAGGATTTAATATACCCCAAATACTTCACCAAACACTTTAAAATGGATTTCCTATTCTGTGAATTTTGTGCTCTGTTAATTCACAAGACTCATTGCTCACCATCTAAGACCATAGAGGATAGAAAGATAAGAGACATATTTGGTACTTTAAGTAGCAAAGTAATTGTGTCCCAAAGGTAGTACTCTGAGCACAGTTCACTGCCTTTCTGAATAAACTTCTGCACTTTAATTCCCAGGGAGAAATCAGCTTGTTTAAAAAAAGAAAACAAAATAAAACCTGCCTCTCTGTACAAATGACTTATTAGTGCTGCCACGTCCCTGGAAGACAGCCTGATCTGGGCCTGGCTTGCTGGCCCAGAGCAATCAATGGAGCTTGCTTGTTTTCTAAGTGGCATCACCAAGGGTTTGCACTATCTACAGTGTTTGTTACACTAATGCCCAGTCAGCAGATTCAATAAAAAACCTGACATCATCACTTACAGTCATGTTTGGACTTTGAATGAAAATTTAATTTCCGTGGGTTTTAAAGTTTCAATATTGCACAATCACAAATGCATATGATCTTTGTTTTGTTTTCAATCCCTCAAGCATTGCCCTTTATTTCTCACACATGGTTTATTTCTCATCTGAGCTCTATACGTGACACTCATGTAGGAAAATCTTTAAATATATTTCTGTCTTCTAAAACTAAGATGAGAAGCCAGTTCTTACAAACTTCCCTCCTTGACCAAGGCTACTAAATATTTTATAGATTGGGTGATTGATTAAGAATCCTAAATTCATGAATAATTTGCAAGGCCAAAATATAACCAGTCTTCTAGTCCCATTAAAGAATAAATGGGAGTGCTAACAACTTGAACTAAGAAGAGAAGCCTTCTGATAGTACTCACTACAGGTAGGATCATTATTAGGGTTGTTCTGGGAATTTAAATAAGCTAATACATGTAAAGCACTTAACACACAGAAGTTAGTATGGTACATGAGCACTTGGCACATAGAATGGACTCGAAAAATGCTAGCTATTGTTATAGCTCCTTGTCACCATTGGCACCAACAGACCTTTTCTTTCGATAGGTGCAAATAGAAAACCAGCGCTCTCGTTGACCCGGTAGGTCTTCTTATCAAACTCTAATGTGGGCTCGTCCTCAGTGTCATTGATAATGACCTTCGCCTGGGTGAACTCCCCTAATAAGGCATATGCTGGCATGCTGAGCTCCACGGTGAAACTCTCAATGTTCTCAAACACATCATCATCATTGATGACAATGGTGCAGGACTTGGTGTCCTCTCGCTCATCAAACTGCACCTGTCACAAAGCAAACAACAAGGAGTTCTGCTGTGTCTGAGATTCCCCTGCTCGCTCCCCCAGAGCATCATGGGAAAAAAGAGGACCCAAGTCTAGTGGGCAGAGCACTGAATGAAATAGCTGGTTCTTCCAACCCAACTTCCTGCTGTATCACCTGGAACACATGGCTACCTGTTCCTATTCTTCATCTACACATTGGAGTGGATTTACCACATAGGGACATGGAGGGCAAAAACATCTCTTACTCTTTGGTGACTATAGAAAAACATGTTGGTAACTATTTATATCTTGTTTTACTAATTCATTTGGGATAGCAAGAGTCATTTGATTACTCAGGTCCCCTTCTATTTGTGGCAAGTTTACCTGGAAAGATCTTTGAACTTGGAGGGTGAAATTCTGGCCTTAAGCTGGGTTAGTCTATGAATCTTTACAAATGTCAGATTCTTCATCAGCTAAATAACAATTTCACGTACTTATTTTGCATATTTACTGGGAGGACTATAAGACACAATGTGTAATGAAAGCGCAAAGTATATTTTAAAGCACTGAACAAATGCGAGATGTTATCCTTATTACCATTTCCGTATTGCTTACACAATCAAAATTGACATAGAATCTCAGTGTACTGAATAATGGAGTTTGAAGCCACAGAAAGTTATATTATGAACAAGCCAAACTGAATTTTAACTTTATATTTAACTAAATCCTTTGCCATTAAGATGGGCTAGATCAATAATGTAAATGAATTTAGCCTGGTACAAAACAGAAATTATTTTATATCCACACAGTTGTGAACATTACAGGGATTTATTCTGGTTTTACCGCGTCTTAAAAAAAAGATCAAGATAAAACCTTGAAAAGGAACCAGGGTTATGGATCTATCCAAAACTAAAAGGGTAGGAAATAGGCCTGGACTACACTTTGTGTAAACTGAGATAGCTAAAATGTGTAAAATAGTCATAAACCTCTAGGGACACACAAATCTGAAAAATTCCTAATTTTCATCAGCAGAAAATTACTATTCCATATCTAATCAACTAATCAAATTAAATTTTACTAAGTTCCACATTTCAAAACACTCCCAACTTAATGAAACACCCCTAGATGTCTATTTAGTTCTAGAACCCACTGCCTTTTGCTTTTCCTTGACAAACCCAAGTACATGCTCTTTCTTATTATTTTGCTAAAAGACTCCTTGGCTTATCTGCTCTTTTTTAATTCCTCATTTAAATTTGACCTCAGTCCAGCTGAAATGCCTCAAAGAGAGAGCCCACTCTTCTTTACAGAGATTTATGCTGTCATAAGAATAGTGAAATTACTTTGCAAAAACACTGAAGAAATACGTAGTCAGTGCCAGGTATTGTGCTATTCATAAAAGAGGACAAATATGGGGTATCCTGCCATAAGGGAGTTTACTGTTTAAGTCCTCTTCCTTTCTTCTGTGTTTACTCTCTCCTCTCTGTCTGCTTCTTCCCTACCCAGGTGCTGGCTACCACCGCTGTGGTAGAGACCTGTGTAAGTATCCCCGCCCCAGCTGCTCTCTGCATTCCTTGCTGACCAACACAGCTGTCCTCTCACGTCTCAGGTACCTCATACTTAGCCTTCCGAAGCACAGTCAAGACCACCCCCCGCTCCAAACCTGCTCCTCTGATGGTGTCCCCTCCCGGCAAGGGGCATCACCATTCATCTCCCGCTTCTGCCCACACTATCTAGTCTGCTGTGAAATCGTATCAATTCTTACTCATCTGTTCAATCCACCCACTTGTCTCCACCTTCGCTTCATAACCGAAACTCACGCTACCATCATCTCTCACCCAGCCTATTCCAAGAGCTTCCCGACCATCCCCCACACTCTCTCTTCCCTTCCTTCAGCTAGAGAAGGTGAGGGGAGAGAAAGGGCTTGGATCCTAAGGGCGCCGTGTAGAACATGATCCCTTGAAGACCTTTTTTGGTCATGAAGCAAAATGTAAAGACTGAGAAACCAGACAACTTAAACTTTTGCAGTTAAAAACTTCCACAAAGAGTAGATGGACTGAGAAGAACTAAGCCCTGGGGAAAGGGAATGCTGGAAAATCACCTGAGGAAGGGCGCCAATGGAAAGGGAGGTGGGATAAAGATTAGGGGGCAGGTGCCCCACTTGCCAACCACCTCAGGGCAGCTGTGGCTGGTGCCTGCTGGCAATCAACAATCAGAGCCCCCCCCCCCCCACCTACCTGGCCAGCATACTCCACGTAGTCCTGCTGTCCGGGTTGGGAGCTGACCCTGGAGCTGGAGCTGGCCGTGCCTTGCTCGGTGCGACACAGGACGATGGCATACTGGTTCAGGTTCCCACTCCTCTGCACTGTGACGCTGACAGAACCCGCTTTCTCACTGACGTTGTAGCTAGAAGCACACAAAAAGGCCGTCTCTGAAATTCTGAGCTGGGGCTGCGAAGAATCCACTCGTTGAATGCCTGTCTCTTCTGGTTGATTACAGTGCCAGGCAGCTCGGAGAATAGGAAGTTCGGCTTCTTTAAGAAGCTAGGTTATGAATTGAGGAACTGTGTTCACCTGGGACAGTCACAGCACCAAGGGACCAAGGAGGGCCCATTTTCAGAGCGAGTTGAAAGGCTCGCTCTGAAAGAAGATGGGCAGCGCGTAGGAGCTATGCACTTTGTTTTTCAAAACACAGAGAAATGACAAACAATCTCTCCCTAGTGTGGTAGAGTAACTAGAACAGTGGGTTCTTAGGAAAGAAAGCTGCTTGGAAGGCAGTTAATGACTTAGTTCAGGTGGGAACTGACTGGACCAGATCTCCAGGAAGTGTGCAAAGGAGTCAGGGTGGTGGCAGAGATAAGAAAATAAGAATGGGGCCTATGTAACAAAGGTGTTTAGACAAACGGAGCTTTGTGGACACTGGGGAGTGACAAGGAGCTATAGACTGAATGTGTCCCCCCAAATTCATATGTTGAAATCCTACCCCGAATGTCCTGATATTTCGGAGGTGACTAGGTAATGAGGGTGGAGCCCTCACGAATGGGATTGGTGCCCTTTTACAAGAGGTCCCACAGAGCTCTCTTGTCTTTCCACCATCTGAGGACACAGGGAAAAGACATCTGCCTCTGAACCAGGAAAAGACTCCTCACTAGACACTGAATCTGTCAGCTCCTTGATCTAGGACTTCCCAGCCTCCAGGACCGTGAGGAATAAATTTCTATTGTTTGTAAGCCATCTTGTCTATGGTATTCTGTTAGAACAGCTCAAACAGACTAAGACACAGCGTTAACTTAGCTTGCTGCTACGAATTTGTATTGTTTTGGCGAAGTAGAAGGCAAACTATCCATGCACTATTAATTCATAAGTATCTAGGTTTAGAAAAGCCATGAGTGAGTGGGACCTGAGCTGGGCCTTGTTTTTCATCACTGAGGATGAGTATTGGGCCAGGGCTTATATCTTGTTGCTGTGAGTGTTGCCAGCAAAGTGCTTCTGACAGGTTAGTCTTCATTGCCAGCTTTGGGACACTCTGTACTATTCAGCCCATTAAACGCTGGACGGTTGTCCAGAAAAAGTGATCAGTTTTAGTCCATTTATTTAATTTTTTTTTAAGGAGATACAAATAAGAGGGAAATAACAGCAAATATATATATATATATATATATATAAAATCAGTGTATATATATATTCTCGAAGTGTGTATGACTAAGAGTGGAACAGCCCACTTGTGGGGCACATGAAATCAAGTTTGTATGTTATCCCCCACCTCCATTCCAATTTTTGTCTGAATTATCATGAAATTGCTTTCTTAGAATAGTGAGTCTCTGAAATGTAGACTTAAAGAATTATTTCCCCCACAAAATTATAATCCTAGTTATAATGTGACCTATAAAATCAACACTGTGCTTGCCTGCCTTTACCAAAGCTGGTGCCTGTTTGCCTCTCAACCCCCCAAAAGACTACAAAAGCTCCTTAAAGAGTACCTATATTAAACTATGAATTTGTCCCAAAGGAAATATAATCCTATAAACACCAAAGGAACTAGGGGAGAATATAAGACTGAGAACAGAGAGAATGTAGAGGGTAAGGCAAAGATGCTTTATTATGGGCCAGTGATTATTTTCAGCCAGTACTGAATGTGTATTTTGTTTCTTATCAGTTCTATTGGATTACCTTCTAAAACTTGAGGGCGGAAGTAAAAATACTTGTAGGAGATGCAGTAAAGCACAATGGTTAAGATCACTGGGTTTCACCCCAATCCTAGTTTTACTGCTTATTAGCTATGCGACTTCGGGTAAATTAGTTAACCTCTTTCTGTCTTCATTGCTTTGTTCTTGTGGGGACAACAATAGCACTCATCTCACAATAGCAAGTATTAAACAAGATAATGTATGTCAAGTGCCTGGTACACATAGTATTAAAAAACATTTGGTGACATTATTATTTTTATTATTGTTATCCCCACCACCACCATCATCAGATGACTAGAGTTGGCCCCCACGTACTTCAACCTGATCTCCTCTGCTTGCCTGATTCACTTCTCAAGAATGAAAGCCAATAACCCTTGTACCTGGTATATTTAAAGCTGATGAGGGACCACTGAACATGGAAGACATTGTCGCTGACCACATTGGGTTTACTGTCTTTCACCAGAAACTGAAAACTATCCATCATCTCATGGATCTTCTCCTTGTGCAACACGTAACGAATCAACCCTAAGTTCACATCCTCTGTGAGAAAAAACACATTGTGAATTAACCCAGGGATGTAAAGACAGCTTTGTAGATTCCACGCTAACATACCCAGTTTATTCTTTAATGGGTTGTAGACAGAACTTAATTTCCCAAGAACAAAAAAGGATAGTAGTCTTAAAAATAAATGTGTCTGCCAGATTTCAAAATAAAATCCTACCACTCTGTGTGACAAAGAGCTGTCTTTACATCCAGGAAATACCCTGATGCTGTTGTAAAATGAGAATCCCAGGGTCTCAGCAAAAAAGTACTTTAATGAATCTCTCTGGAATATTAAAGGCAACTTTGAGAGCTGACAAAGAGTCTTTGACTCCATCCTTTGTGTACACATGCGCACACTCAGCCTTACTTCCTTCTAAATAAGGTTCTTTGGAAGGTATGTGCTACTACAAAAAGCTGGGGTTGAATTAAAACAGCCCATACACAAGGCACAGATTAAAGGTTCTCTTCTAGGGGAGAACACAAGATCGAGAACAGGGAGACAAGGGAAATACGGTGCATGAGTTGTAAGGCGCAGTTTTTGCAATGACGGCTCAAGGTAAGGTCCATCCTCAAAAGAAGTCTGGAAGAGTCTGACATGCTTATAATACTACCAAAATACAAAATGGTCCGCTTGATGTGATTCAAAATAGGAAAATATTTCTGTTGAACAACGTATCCGTGTTGATTTTTATTTCTTTGTTAAAGACTTAAGAAACAATCCATAACCCTTAGAGAAAAAATTAAGCCATACAGGATCACGGATATTTCATAAAGTCTGGTTGTTGTTTTTGTTTTTTGTTTTGAAAGAAAACCAAGCATGTTGCACATCTGAAACAAATGTAACATTTGTGTCAACTATGCTTCAATTAAAAAAAGAAGAAAACCAATCAATATCATGTGATCCTGCCACTAAATCTTGCCAAAACCTAAAGCAATCTGGGAGCTGAGCAAGCATGGTAAAGACAATTTTTTTTTTCTTTTGCCATAATTGAGAGTAATAGGAAAAGGAAATCAGGGGAAGTAAAATTCTGAAGTTGGATGGTTAGACACTAAACGATCTATTTGTTTGCAAATAAGTGACTTGAGGGTAAGTAGCTAGAAGTGGTTGTGAGAAAGATCAGGGAGGTAGGGGAAGTTAGAAGGGATTTCTCCCATCTCTCAGTTCCCCGAGTCCGCACCCTGAGTGAAAGTGACGGTAGCTCTGCCAGGCTGTAGCTTGTTCTCCATGTGGCCGTGCTTGGGGCCCGCTGTAATCTCATAGACAAGATGCTGGTCCTCTGTGTCTGGGTCCATGGTCAGCAGTTCCTTCTTGGTGATCAAGTTGGTTGCCTGGAATAGAAACCCATTAAATTTAATTCCTAAGGTGGGAATAAAGCCAGACCAAGACCCTCTGACTCAGAATTAATTCAGTTCAACAATGATTTACTGAGTGCATTTACTGCATGGAAAACTCTGTCAGGATTGAAGAGGCTATAAGGACTGCAACCATCCCAGCCTCCGTCCTTGAGGTGTTCACACTTTATTGGGAAAGAAAGGCTTGTGAGCAGGGCAATTGTGGAAAGAGCTATAACGGGAGATACAAAAAAGAGTACTGTACATTTTTGGGGAGTGGGAGAGATTAATTCCATCTGGATCGGAGGAGGGATTTGAGGTGGTGGGATTTGAGTTTGGCTTTTAAGGAAGGTTGGAACTTTGAAACAATGATAAAATACAGGCAAGATGGCCAAAGGCATCTACCTTGTTAGAGTCAATCACAATTCTTGAAATTGAGTAAGATAAATATATGATAGCCCAATATTGCCCAAATACACTGGCTAAATTTTAAGTTACTCATTCATTCATTCAACAAATATTTAGTAAAAGCAAAGGTTTGAGAGAAAAAAGGGGGACATGTAACCGACCTTTGGACTTGGCAAAATAAAGGTCATTGTTGACTTTGATAAGAGTCACTGCAGTAGGATAAAAGTGGAAAGTAGAAAACCAACTGGAGAGTGTAGAGAAGAAAATGGGATGGTTCTGAATATGGGGGAAAAAAATCAAATAAGGGATGCGAGGAAGTTGTACTAATTTAAAAAATCCCAACCAGTTCTGTAGAAAGCTACAGCGTAGCAACTACATATACAGCCAACTAATTAGCTCCATGGAGACGGGAAAATCCACATCCTAGAGGGAACACCACACACAAAAGAAAAATCAGTTCCTCAACTGAAGAAGCACGTGTGTCTGGGTGAGGATGAGGATTTACTGCGTGGTATGTCACCAGGTAAGAACCGTGGCATATTTTAAAAGGACCAAATTGGGATTTAGGAGGAGAAAGGAATTTCTAAAGTAGAAGTCCTCTGAGGACACTCACCTACAAAATACTCACTTCCTTCCCATCTATGGCATATTCCAGATATTTCCCGAAACCCATCATCCCCTACTTCTAGTTAACAAACTTGTAGCTGAGCCAGCTAGAGACTCTATTCCCAGCCTCTCAGATGCAACAGATGGAGCCATATAACCAATTTCTTGCCAGAATAATCTGAGCACAAGTGATGTGCTTCATTTCTGTATTACTTGCTTAAAATGAAGTTCCTTGCCCTCTACTTCTCGGTTTTCTTCTTTCCATGGGCTGGAATATTGATGAATAGTTGAGGAGTGTTGGCTACACCTTCAACAGCAACAACCCAGTGATGTGAGAATAATAAGACAGAAGGAATCTGCATCTCTGAAAGGTCATGTAGAGCCCTGGACTGCCCACTTACTACCACCCCGTATGCGAGAGAAAAAATAAACTTCTATCTTGTTTGAGCTTCTGTATTTTGGGGGTCATTTTGTAAGAACATCTTAAACTATATACAATCTTAACCAAACTCATGGAGCTTGCCAATCTCAGGAAAATCAGCTCCCTTAGGGAGGGATAAATGTGAGTCAACTGGACTTCTATCCCCACGTGGTCACAAATAAGGACACAGCCCATGTTGGTTCATGTGAATGTGGCAGACGGAAAGGCCTTACCTTGCCATCCATGTACTCCAGCCACTGAAGCCCCAGGTTGGTAACAATTCTAGGGGTGCCATCATCTACTGGGAGGATGTCTACCTGGAAATGCTGAGGTGCCGCGGTCATAACCTGTGGGGGAAGCCAAAAGAGAAAAGTCATCATTCACAGACATCTGAAGTATGTCAGGTCCTACGGCCTACAAAGCTGGAACCCCAGAAATCTGTTGGCAGCTCAGAACGGGCAGCTGTGCCAGTTTCCATTGCTTATCACCCTTGGCATGAGGCACAAAGAATGCTGATCGATCAAGTGGGGACAAGATGAGAAGAAAAGTTGACTTTCACACACCCATGCATTCCTTAGGTGGGTTCAGTATTGCCCTGAAGTGAAACAGCAAACAGTAATTTCCCTTCAATAACTCTTGTTAAAATTCTCAGGAGAGGTGGACTAAACTTATCATTCACATGCTAATGTCAAAGTCTCCAGGGGGGATTCTGCCACGTGTGATAATAAGTTTCATGAGAGGATATTTTCTTTCTTTTTTTGGAGGGGAGGGGGGAGAAGGGCAGAGGAAATCAAGAAAGAATAAAAGCGTTTGTGGGAATAGTGAAAAGAAACTGGTCTATAATTTCATTCTCATGCAGATACATGTACACATACACACTCCACATATGTGGTGAGTCCGGCCCAGAATCTCTGTTTCTGGGAGGATAAGGCACGCCGGCACGCAGGGCAGCAAGATGCTGGCTTTTCAATCTTTTGCGACCTTCCTAAATAATTTCCATTTCAAAAATAATACAGTCCCTCTGGAGACCTACCATGACCTTTTATATTTATCAGAGAGGTAGCCCTCTTGCTGATTCATCCTGAAATCTCTTTTCTCTTCTGAAAGTCAAATGAAGTGGGGGAGTAGCTACAGTTCAGAAGAGAAAAAAATAAAAACAATGATCTGCCAGGTGGTGATGCAGAGCAGACACCAAAATGACAGGAAATCCCAAGAGCCGTCTCACTGACACCTGGGCCAACGGAGAACGACCTTCACGCAGACTGTCTCTAAAGGATGCAGGGGGATCTTTCTTCCAGGAAAGAAATCATTCCTGGTCATCATCAAAGTAGGAAAGGACTCTGCAGGATGAGGAGCTGACCCTTCTGTTATCCTGAAATACAGCTGGGTGTGATCGAGTTGCTCAGTCACGCTGCTTCTGCTCAGTCAGACTCGAATGCGCAAGATGCAGGCGGGTCCTCGGGCCCACCTTTCACCACGGTTGCCGTTATTCCCCGGGGAGGGTTAGGATCCTGCCAGAAACCTGGCTGAGGAATGAAGGAGTGAGCAAAAGCGGCAGGGAGGGGAGTGGAGAGGCCATCTTCAAGTTTCTTCCAGACACCTGAACCTTGGAACAGGGCAATTCTCTTCAGGAAGGAAAGCTTGACAACTGCAGGACCTCAAGAGAAAAACCCCTTTACCTGTTTCACCAGCTGGTCCTAAAACGATGACAGTGATGATGATATTAGAGCCACAGTTTATTGGATGCTCCCTATGTTTCCTGTGTAAGGCACTGGGCCAAGTGCTTTATGCACATCCTAAGGACTGATCTCATCCCCATTTTACAGACATTTCAGCTAGTAAGTGAGAGAGCCAGAATTTAAATCAGTGTCTTTTGGATGCGAAAGCCATACTCTTAACCAGGTTGTTCTCTTCATGACATTGAAAAACTCTGGCTGGCTGAGGGGACACACAAAAGAGAAAGACAATCTAGAATCATATGAGATTAGCTACTAGAATCAGATGAACGCAAGATGAAAGGAGTCAACGGTGTGCCAAAAGGAAAAGAGAAACAATGACAGCCATAGGAACAATCACTATCACCCTTTATTGTGCGTGCTATTTGCCAACAATGTTCCCCACTTTATGTGGATTACCTCCTTTGATCCTTAGACTAACTGAAGCTGGTGATTGTTACCGTACCCATCTTACAGATGAAAAGCTCAGGCTTGGAGAAGTTAACTAATTTGTGGCCAATTAGTGACAGAATAAAAACAATGCTATTCTTGGCTGAAAAATGCCCTGTTCTGCTTCTGGACAACCTCTGGCACACTGCGCCTCCCTCTCCGCTGTCTGTGCCCCTCACCTCTTTTCCTCCTTCTTCGACGATAAAGAAGGGATTTGTCCCGTCAGCCACAGTGAAGGTGAACCGGTCTCTGAGGGAGTTGCTGCCGTCGTGGCTGTAGCTGACCCGGTTCTGGTAGATGTCTTCCATGGTGAAGATGGACGTGCGCCGGAAATGCTGCCCGCGGCTGGCTCGCTCGATGGTGCCGTGGCGTGGGGGCTGCACAACGGTGAATGTGACAGACTCGGCCTGTCGAGGAGGGAAAAAGCAAGGTGGGAAGGGAAGTTTGAAACAGAAATCAGGTCGTTTTGTTTCGTTTTAAAAGACTGATTGATTGATTATTTATTTATTTGATGGGGGTGCGGGGCAGAGGGAGGGAATCTTCAAGCAGACTCCCTGCTGAACGTGGAGCCCGACACAGACCATCCCACAACCCATGCGATCATGACCTGAGCCGAAACCCGGAGTCGGACGCTTAACCAACTGAGCCACCCAGGCGCCCCAAACCAGATTTGTGAGTGATGGCCAACAGGCGGTCAAGGGTATCCAAACCTAAAGACGTTTATAAAATAAGGATTGCATTTTCTTTATAGATATCAAAAATAAAACAAAGGAGAGAAACTATGTTGGGGATTACAAGTGAACTTATGTTCTGGTGCCTTCTGGTGTCAGACTAAGACATTTAAATTTGTCTTTTAAGGATCATAGGGGAAAACCTGAATTTTTAACCTCTACCAGGATGATAGGAGCTAGACCTTTAAAACTACTCACTTCCTTCCCAACCTTTCCCCCCACTTTTCCAAAATTCTCGTATCGAGCATCCCATATACATCAGAACAGAAGCTAATTTCCCATTTCTAGTTGCGGCTTCTAGGGTGGCACACAGAAGGAAAAATAAAGACATAGAAAACACTGTTCAAGACCTCCCAGTGATTTCCCACCAACTTAGAATAAAATGCAAAGGCCTGACATATGCCAACAAAGCCCTCTGTGGCCTGGTCCTAGGGTTCCTCTCTGGCTGCATTCTTTACTCCTGCTTGCTTATTGGGTCCCAGTCTCTTCCTTTCTTTGTTGTAACTCGAAGTTTCCAAGCGCACTTGACCACAGGGCCTTTGCACTCCTGGTTCTTTGGCTCAAAGAATGACTCAGATAACTGCATTGCTTGCTCTTCCACTTCATGATGTCTCTGCTCAAAGATCAGCTCCTCAGAGAAGACTTCCCTGACCACTCCGTCTCAAATAACACACCCTTCAATCTCTATGGCTTTTATCTTGCTTTATTTTTTAATTCATAGCACTCATCATATCTGACATGATGTTATATGTTCTTTCTTGTCTATCCCCCTAACCAAAGGCTGGAAACCCCCCAAGGCCGGAACTCTGTTTTGTTCCCAGCCCTGTCTTTAGCATCTGGAGCAGAAGCTGGTACAGAGACGGGTACCCACAGAACTAATGAACAAAGTTATGGTACTCTTTATGAGAGCTAAGTCATGCCAGAATGTTAGATACTTTAATTTGAAAGCATCATGAGAATAAGAGTTTAGTCTCTGCATGCCCTGTTTTACTGAATAAAGCCTCCTTCCTTGAGGATGCTCAAATTGTAGTATTTCGCTGTCATTCAGAGAAGTCTGAATGAAGGAGGTAAATGGTAGGAAAAATGAATAGGTGCCCCAAACCCTTGTTCACTCTAATAAGGAAGAATAAAAAAAATTGGCTAAAATGTCATCTAATTGTCTATGAATCATGATAAAAAAAAAATCAGCATATTAAGGGATTGTTCCATGTAATCAGGGGACAGAGTGTATGTACTTAGCAGTTCAGAAAGGGTTTAAAAACAATTTGATCTCAAATATATTAGTTTCTCTTTTCCGGAAGGCCACAGGGTCTTCTGATTTTTAACCTTTCAAGGATGCTTGCACTGACCTCACTACTCTGCCCTACCCTTGGGATACACAGTCACAATGTGACAGATCAGCCTCTCATTCAGCCAGAGAACTCAGGGGAATGCTCTTACCTCTGTGTCTGCATCCACCGCCTTGAGCTCAAACTCTGTGATGGTCTTCCTCACACCCTCCTGCACCCGCATGCCCAGGTTCTGTACAACAGGCAGTGAATCGTCCACAGGGCGTATGGTGATATGGAAAGTCTGGGTTACCTAAATGGCAGAAAGTGCAGGTGGGACACCTGTCCCCGGCACCCACCCAAGTAGAAGGTAGGTGCTCTCTACTTTTCCTTTCACCCATTCCTGGCTTGAGCGCTTGACCAGGAATCCAAAGTGGTTTCCCTTTGGCAAGAGCCCCCAGAGCTGTCAGAAGCCACCACTATCCTTGGGTGAGAGCAGGCGAAAGTGAAGCTTGCGGAGTTGCTTCTCATACTCCCTTCAAAGAAGACTGCTGAATCAGTGCCCATTCACTGAGGGAATGGAGTACCTTGCCTACCTCACTGACTCCATCGGAGAGCGCAAAGCTGAAGGCATCAGAATGTTTCTCGGTTTCACTGGAGTGGATATACCGAACATTTTGTGAAGTCAGGTCAGCTTGAGTAAAGGAACTAATCTGGACACCTAGCAAAAGGGGAAGAGAGAACCAGAAAAAGGATGTCAAAATGCTAGCCACACTTCTAATGCTAGAGAAATGCCATACTTTCACCAGACGGAGTCCTTTGTATATCTCTTACAGCATTTACGTGCTTCTCTCTGAGACCTTGTGTTAGAGTCGTTTGTGTATTTTTTTTCCCCTACCACAGCATATGTTCTGTGGGAGCACATGTTAACTTAATTATCTAGCTTCTGCTATGTGCCAAGCCAACAGCAGGTGCTCAATAAATGTTCCTCTCCTTTCTCTGGGGGTTTATGTATGCAGGTCAAATCTGCGAAACGCAGAGCCATTGCCTTAGTCTCCAAACTCCTCTCTCTTACGTTTTATATTCCCCCATAGCCTCATAGTCCTTTCTGAAAACCTGTCCTAATTTTTAATATTGTGTGATGGTTTAGCTTTTGAACACTAGAGTCATAGGGCTTGGCTACACATACGCTTTTCTCTGTGATTGGTGAGCCTGGCATCCATGATTTTACTGGATATTCTTCAAGGTCCCTTTCAACCTTCTGGCCTATGATTTTCTAGCTTCTCATATACCACGTTAGCCAGGCTGGCAGTTAACAAAACTTACCGCATGACTTTGGGGTTGGCGAAATCATTCTATCTTAACTCTTAAATGACCTAAAAAACCAGTATCCTTTAATAACATGATATAGAGGAAACACATTAAATTTTTTGCAGACTTGTTTTAAAAGTAAAAAAACACAATACTAAAGTGATTTTAGATAATGCCAATGTATCCCACAAATGAGTAACATCTTATGTTTTTAAATGTCCCACAACATTTAGCAAAACAGCCCGGAATTCTTGCTTCTATCTTAGGGCTTCTGTGACTCATCCTCTGCTGCCAGCCAAGACGGAAACAAAACCACATCTTTTAGTCCCTCGGCACAAATTCCCTCTTTCTGATTCTGGATGCTGGGTATTAATCCATTGAGTCTAGTCCTTTGGTCTGGTCCTGAAATTCATTTGCTGCTTCCTGGGATGTATTATTTATCATTGTTAATCCCAGCAAAACCAGTTTGGCTTTTTCGTAAAAAAACAGATTCTACTTTGACTGTTTTACATTTAACCGGGACATCAATATCTTTTATCTTTATCTTTAAGGCTTTATCTTTTTTTACAAAAATCAACCTACATGGTTTACATGTGCAACTTTATCATCTGAAATTTGTTACCTAGATACAACAGCCTCCTGAATATTGGGGCATTATTATTATTTTTTTTTTTTGATGAGGAGGCATTTGATATTTCTGTGCTTGCTACATCAGCTGTTGACAGGCAAAAAATGTGGCCCCCTGTCTTATCACTTTGTCTTGTGGCTCTAGACAGAAATCCATACCATTCTTTAAAAATTTAATAACTTCAGACTGGCTGCACTGAGAAATTTAAATCTCTTTCCCTTCTGTGAATCCATCCTCACAGCTCATGGGGAAATACTTGTCTGGATTCTCGCAATCAACTGGTCACCTACTTCACTGTTCCCTTTATATGAGTCCTTAGTCTGAGAGTGATTAAGAAAGGTGACAGGTTTTTCCTTCTTGCAAAGAAAGGTTTGGAATTGATCTTTTCTTAATATTTCTTATTGAGAGGAAACTGATGTAAAGTAAATTGCACATATTTAAAGTGTACAATTTCATGAGCTTTGGCACATCCGTGAAACCATCACCTTAATCAAAACAGTGAACATATCCATCACCCCCAAAGTTTCTTAACACTCTATAATCCTTACATTCTTCCCTTTTTGTCCCCTACCCTATCCCAAAGAAACAAATCAATTATTTTCTGTAACTATAGATTAGTTGAATTTTTCTAATTTTTTTCATAATTAAAATCATAGAGTATATGCTATTTTAGGCATGGTTTCTTTCACTTAGCATAATTATTTTGAGATTTATCCACCTTGCAGCATGCATTCTTTTTTATTCTTTTTGTTTGTTTGTTTATTCTTTTTTATTGTTGAGTGGTATTCCATCGTATGGATATATCATAGTTTGTGTCTCCATTCACCTGTTAATGGACATTTAGGTTATTTCTAGTTTTGTGCTATTGCAAACAAAGCTGCTATGATCATTCACGCACCAGTCTTGGTATGGGCATAAGTTTTTATTCTTGGGTAAATCTCTAAGAGTGGAATGGTGGGAATATATATTAGGTACATGCTTAACTTTTTAGGAAACTGCCAAACTAAGTGGTTCTTTGTGCCAGAGGGTAACAAGGTGCATCTAGAACAGAAGCTTCAAGAGGACAGGGATTTTTGTTGTTTTTTCACTACTGTGCACCTAAAATAGTGCCTGGCACACAGTAGGTACTCAAAACACGCTTGGTGAATGAATTCAGTTCATCCACTATAATCGCTATCTAAGAGGTCCTACTGAGCACAGATTTTCCACCTCTGTACACTTCAAAAAATATTCTAGCCTTTGCTAATTGGGTATTGGAAGACTTAAGCTACTCACCATCAGGATGGTATTTCCAATAACATATCGTCCCTACTGGCTGTCACAGCAGGTAGTTACTCTTTGAAATATCTTGAAGGAGTTTAATCCCATCGAAGGTGTTTTCCGTTACCAACCTGCTGGCTCAACTATGTTTCTGGCCATATTACAGAGACCCACATTAACCCTGTCAGTTTTTCCAATTCTCCTGGAGGGCCAGCACGTTAGAGAAAGTTCAGTCCAGGTCAGGGAAGCATGCACAAATAAAGCATCTTTGAAGAAACTGCCTTCCTAACAGGATGTTAGGTGATTGCCTTGGCCTTCCTGCTTTCTGCAGGGCTGTGGATGGCTGCATGCATGCTGCCTGAGTCCCACCTCAGGCTCAGGCTGTGGGAGACCCTCAGCTTTTCTTCAAAGCCTCCTGTTAGGGAATGAATTGTGTCATCTCCGCCGCCCCTGCCCTCCCCCCCCCCC